AAAGGAGGGGTATGTGAGTTACAAGGTTGCCAGGCTACTAGGCCTCCAAGCCTCTCCCTAGACGCTAATTTTTTTTCCAATGTCTTGGGACTCAGTTGCTTCACTCTCCTCTGTCACTTCTATCACCCACTGTGTACAGATTGTACACTGTTTTTTTCCCAAAATTCACACTTCTGGTTATTTTAATACTTACCTCTTCATACCCATTGGCCAACATTCCCTGGTATCCCTTCCTTTTGTGTCATCAGAGACAAGCCCATACATTCCTTATATTTTAAGTGCTCTACTGCTACTCCTTGCTGGAAAGCATGGGCATAACATGGCTATAATAGAAGAGTGTACCTTAGAAATGTTTAGAGGACTGTCAACCTAAAATAACAATGGAGAGAGTGGCTCTCAAAATAAATGAGTTTATTTGGGAATGAATGACAGGGGATTATAATTTGGGATATGTGGTCTGTGACTAATTATAGGTGTGCCTACTTACAGTTACAGAGAGGTTGGGGCAAGAGGAAACTTTTAAAGGCAAAATGAGGAAGGTTACGTCATTTGTTTTGAGACAATTATCCTTGTCTACGTAGACCAATAACAATGGTGGCACCAGTCCAAAGTTGAATAGGTCATTGCTGGGTAGATGTCCTCACAGAAGTATTCTTTGTGTAAGGTTGTAGTGGCAAGGTTTGGGGCAAGGTTGGGGTTTTCATTGTCCTTGTAATAGTTTTCAGGATAGTTTTGTGTGTGAGAGCCCTTCCTTTGTAACCTCCCAACTCCATTTTGTTAATGTTTGGCATAAGTTACTCTATTTTGATTCTGACAACTTCCACAGGACCAAAGGGCAAAGAGAATAGAGGAACAGGATTTTATAGAAAAGAAAGAGGTAGAACTCTAGAGAAACAAAGTTGATTTTCTCCCAGGATTTCTTCCTTTCTATGAGCACTCCAATTAGTGTGGAATACATGTGACACACATGTTTTAGTCATCAAAGTCCTCTGTATAGCCTTATGATCTTGGACTCTGGAGCCAAACTGCCTTTTTTTTTTTGGGACAGAGTCTTACTCTGTCACCCAGGCTGGAGTGCAGTGGCGCAATCTTGGCTCACTGCAACCTCCCCCTAGGCTCGAACAATTCTCGTGCCTCAGCTTCCCAAGTATCTGGGATTATATAAGTGTGTGTCACCATGCCCATCTGATTTTTTTGTATTTTTAGTAGAGATGGGATTTTGCCATGTTGGCGAGGCTGGTCTTGAACTCCTGGCCTCGGGTGATCTGCCCACCTCAGCCTCCCAAAGTGCTGGGATTACAGGTGCAAGCCACCACGCCCAGCCCCAAACTGCCTGTATTTGAGCCTGGTTCTACCACATAGTGATCTTAGTAGATGTCTCCTCATCTAAAGATGGGGCTAACAATACTACCCAACTGAAAAGATTAAATGAGTTTATATTATAGCTTAGAACAGTGCCTGGTCTGAAGTAAGCATTAGGTAGGTATTTGATGTTATTATTACTCTTTTTAAAGATATTATATGGGTTTCTGGAGAAGGAAGCTTTCTCTCTACTTGGACTTTGTTGTTCAGCTCCTTATGTATCTTAGTCATTGTGGTGACTGCACTCTTGCCATAATTCTGGCTTGAATTTCAAGGTTTTATTTTCTTGAGTAACGTATTTAGCTCTTTTCACAGGCTTTGGGAGAACCCAGTTACATGAGATGATTTACACAAATGATGCTAAAACAAAAGTTGAGCAAACTTGCAGACCTGCTATAGGGCCTCACAACAGTGGACCTTGGTCTCTAGTTCCTGCCTCCCATCTAAGAGATTGAATAGGAGCCTCCACTGAGCACATTGGGCTCCCATTTCCATCCAGTGCAGGCTGTATAAAAGGCCAGTGGACTTCTCCTTCATCATGGCCCCTCTTCCCACTATGGGTCTTGGAGAAGCCATAGAAACAGGAGCAGTCTTGAGGGGCTATTTCATTTCTACTCTACCTCTTACAGGAGAAAGTTCTGTGAGAATACACCATACACATTCTGGGGCAATTGGCTAACTTATGACACAATCATCCTTTCATTCATTTCTTTCACTTATTTAAAAAGGTTAAACATGTACTTACTTTATATGTTGTATCTGGTCACTTGAATATCGAGCTGTCATATTTGCAGATCGAATTGCCTGCTTTTTGTTTCTATTAAGAATTGTTTATGGTGGCCTGATTTCTCAAATCTGTGTGTGTGTGTGTGTGTGTGTGTGTGTGAGAGAGAGAGAGAGAGAGAGAGAGAGAGAGAGACAGAGACAAATGCAGAGACAGAAACAGAGAGAGTGCTCATGTTTCTTGGGGTTGTCTACGGTATGAGGCTTTGTGTGTGTGATTTACTAGATGCCTGAGAAGACTTTAAACCAAATTCATAACTTGGGTATTTGAGGCCAAACTAACATGTGAATTACAGTCTCAAACTCATAGGAGGATTGGCTTTTTGTTACAAATTCTTATCAAGATTTTTTTCTGTTCCCCTATGGGCCCAGGCTGAGACTGGATATTTTCCTTAATACATCCTATGGGTAGGGGATAACATTTTCATGTTTGACAATTGAGAGACTTGCCTTTTAGTGGTCTCAGCTTTTTGGGGGTCTGGGAAGAAGGTTGCTGATACAGCTCCTACTTTGTATGGGCCTTAAGCTTTTCATCCATTAACTCACAGACAGGCTGTTAAAGCTGAAGCTACAAATGTCATGGAGGTGCTTTCCTGTCTTGTCAAATATGACCTGACTTATGAGGATTTTACTCATCTTCCTTTCAGTTAAGCTATAACTTGAAAAGAGTTTTAAAAAGTTATCCAGCATTTTACTTGCCTTTTTCTGGATTTAAGCTTGAAACATTATTGAAATGAAAGTCTTAGTTCCCCAACTTTCAATTAGCAATCATATTATTAGCTTTTTTTCATAAAATAAACATAATTCTCAAATGAAATTCATATTATTTCACTTATACCCATCCCATAGTATTAGAAGTTTGATGTGCTACTCCCTCCAGGAGAAAACAGGCACAAGTAGCCGTGTAGGGAATGAAGCACCATATCAATTATGTCCCATAAGTCCTAGAATTTAGAAGTATCTGGAGAATTTAGCTTTAAGAGAGAGGCTGGCATCAGAGGCCTCCTGTTTTCCTGGTATTGGATGCTTCAGTTGGAATAACTGAGTTTGTAAGGTAAATTTCAAGATGCTCAAATAGGCATCTGCATAGAAGTTTTAGGCCTGCCTCATACAACCAGTTATGGTGGAATGGAGAATCCCAGAGAGTGGAGGTCTTGGTTCTGCTACAGATCACACACTCATCATAAAGAAGCAGAGAGGAAACCTGGTCTTTTCCTAAGAACTTGAGTGTAAGAAAGAATGAAACGTGTTTCCTGTCAACCCAGCTATGTGGCACATGACTAATAGATATGATAGTCTCTGAAATTTCTTTCTGGGAAAAGAACCAGTAAGGAGTGAAGGAATTGTTTAATATATTTTCCTTGTCAGTACTTCCCAAATGGGGAGATGAACAGAAGTGATCTAGGCTACCAGGTGAGATGCGAGCATGGAGGTAGCAATTGTGTTGCTCCCTACACATAATTTATTCCACCATTCTCTTATCGTCAGGCATTTAGGTTATTTCCAATTGTTTATACTATGGTGAACATATTTGCATATACTTCTTTGACCACATCTTGGATTATTTCCTTAGAGTGGGTTTCTAATGTGGACTCAGGGTTCCATGAGAAGAGCAGAGCAAAGGCTCTTGTGTATCCTAAGAAAGTGTATTTCCCAATGGCAGAACACTGATTCATACTCAATTATAGTAGCGTTACCACACTGTGCCAGCACTGAGAATAACAATTAAGGAAGACTTTGACAAACAGATCAATAAGTAATGCCATTTAATTGTTTTAACTTATGTTTCTTTTATTACAAGCAATGGTGTATAATTTTCATATTTATATGACATTTACATTGTTTGTTTATGTCCTCTGCTCATTTTTTTTGGTGCATTGGTGTTTTTCTACTTGCTATAAGATAAATTTTATGTTATAAGATGACAACCTTTTTCCATATTTCCTGCAAGTGTGGTTCCTTAGTTAGCTCTCTGCCTTTCAATAGTTTTTAGACTGGTGTGGTAGATATTGCTATTTCCCACCTAAATTTGTTCTCCTTTTTCTACAGTTAATTATAGCTAAGCATGTGGCTGTCTAACTAGGGACAACCTATTCTAACCCTCCTTGTAGTTAAATGGAGCCATGCAACATTTTGGCAATGCAATGTAAGCAGAAGTAATGTTTACTATTGTCTGACAAGATCAGTGGAGTGGGAGTGCTTACTTCATATTCTTCCTTCTACATTTTTACCAGCTGGAGACCCAAAGGAGGTACAGGCCCAGCTTTAACCATGCAGGCAACAAGAGTGCCCTAGGAAACAGCAGAGCAAGAAACTGGAAAGAACCTGGGTGATTGTAAATGGCACACCCTGGACTCTTAGGTAAGCGCACATAAACTACTTGTTCTTTAGCCATCTGCTATAGACTGATATGTTCTCTTGAAATTCATATGTTGAAATCCTAACCTATAATGGATGGTACTGGCAGGTAAGGCCTTTGGTAGGTGAATGTGTTTTGAAGGTGGAACCCTCATGAATAAGATTAATGCCCTGATGAGATAAGTCCCAGAGAGAGCTTCCTTGCCTCTTCTACCACGTGAGATTATAGCGAGAAGACAACTGCCTATGAACTAGGACAGTCAGGCTTCACCAGCCACCAAATCTGCCAGCTCCTTGCTCTTGGACTTCCAAGCTTCTATAAAAGTTAAAAACAAATTTCTGTTGTATATAAGCCACACAGTTTATGATATTCTGTTATAGCAGCAAGAGTGGACTAAGACACTATCATATTGTTGACACTTTGTTACAGTAGCCTACGCTTACCATAATGTCTTTTGTCAAATAGAGGTTAGCTTTTCTTTCTTTCTTTTTATAAAAAAAATATAGAATGCTTCACAAATACGTGTGTCATCCTTGCACAGGGGCTGTGCTAATCTTCTCTTTATTGTTCCAATTTTAGTATCTGTGTGCTAAAGCCAGCACTAGCTTTTTTAAAAAAACACTAATAAACTATTTCTTTATGAAATTTTGCATTACTTTTACGTGGAAAATTCTTTCTCAATCCAAGATCTTATAAGTATATATCAGTGTGTCTAACTTTTTATGGTATAATTTAATAATTATAGTTCTTTAATCCATTTGGAATTGGTTTTGGTGTAACATGAGATAGAGCTGCACACATTTTTTTTCAAAAATTTAACCTCATTTCAGCATCAATTATTGAATAATCTCTTTTCTTCATGGATTTATGATGTCTCATGTACTTATAAAATTATTATTTTAAAAATATTCTCTTGCATGTATTACCTTTTTTCATAAATGTACAAGTAATAAATGTCTTAATTATTATAACTTAATAGTGTAACTTGGTAGGTCAAATCTTTTTTCTTTGAATTTGTTTTCCTTTGCTATCTTTTGCACATTTTCTTACATAAATTCAGAGTAATTTTGTCAAGTTATTGCTCTTTCCACTTCAGATCCAACATAAGTTCAACTAGAATTTTGATTATTACTGCATTAAAACCTCTACATTAATTTGTGCATAACTGATATTTTTACAGTAGTGAATTTTCTTATACAATAATATAACATGCCATTTCATTTATTTTTTATAACTCAATAAAGCTGTATAGTTTTCCTCATACTACTCCATAAATTAATTGGTTGTTAATATAAAAATATATTAGGTAATGTATATGATTATTATTTCTAAGATGAATGATATATTTTCCTGTTGTGGTTTCTACATAGTTATTTTGATATATTAAAAAGCTTTGCTTATTGAATGTCTATTTCGTATGTGGGCTATTTAGTAATCTCACTTACAGCTTAGCTTATTTTCAGCTGATGTTTTTCATACATTTCTTGTGTGTGTGATAGAGTCCCTCAAGTGAATTCCTCACAACCAATGACTTGATTTTATTCAGTGGCAATTCTGCTCTTTACTACTTCTAATGCAAGTCTTACTTCTTCTACTTTGCCTTTAATTTCTTTAGAATCTTTATGATCCCAGCCAGATTCTTTTCATCTTGATCTTTTAGGGTTAACTCGTTTATTTAAAGTAGTGTTTTGGGTTATTTCTTAATTTTTTAGAAGAAATTTTAAAAGAAAAATGATTGTAAACCATTCTTAAAAGTCTTTCTTGTAATATAGTGATAGGAATTATAAACTTCCTATAAGAATCTGTATTACAATATGATTTATTTGTTTCAATTTAATGCTTTCTTATGTAACCTAAGTCTGACAAGATTTTTCTTCAGCTTATGTTTATTTTTATGACTGTTTAATAAATAGCGCCCTTGTTTTACTTTTGCCCTCCGGGTAGGCTAGGCATTTTGCTTTGGTAAATTTCCTTCTGCCTACTGTGTCAGTCAGTAGTTCCAGCTAGAAACAGAATGTACACTCTAATTGGGTAATTTGAAGACACTCTAATAAAAAGACTATTAACAAGGATGTGGATGAGCAGCAGGGAAAACTCACAAGGGATAATGCCAGACTCCAGAGCAGGTGAACTTCAGATCTGAATGAGTGAGGAAAAAAGTGGTTACCAGAACCCAGGGAAGGAGAGAGAGCTGTGTAGAGAGAGCCTTTCAGTTGAGGCTGTGCCAGTGGTTGAGGGACACTCCTGTAGAACAGGAAATGAGTTTGGGAGTAAATAACCAGCTTCTATCTCCAGATCTCCTTGTAATGTTCCCCATTGACCATATTCAACCACAAGTTAGGGGACAAAAGATTCTTGTCCTACATCAGACCATGCAGGTCAGCCCTCCACCTAGATCAAGGTAGAGAAGGGTGTATCTGGAAAGGCAAGCAAATGCTAGTACATTAATCAAAGAGTCCTTACTTCTTCATCAGACTACCAAAGGTCAAGTGTGCGTTTTCAGAGGAAGAAGAGGAGAAGAGCCTAGGAGGCTGATTCTTAGGAGATAGTTGAATGGCATAAAATATCTTTGGGGGTTGCAGAAAAGATAGACATAGCACAAATATGTATGGAACCACTCTCTAGATAGGCCTAGGAAGCTTCTGCAATGTGGTCCCATACCAGAGCACTAGTCTAGTTAAAAGATTATGGTTCCAATAATAATTCAAAACTTCTCTTGTATATTTTAGTCATTGAAAGACATTCAAGTACATAGACTAATGCAAGGTATGGTAATATCACCATTGTTTGGCCCAAGGAAACTTGCAGAAATTTCTTACTGACTCAGTAAAAAAAAAAAAAAACTTTCTTTTTGCTCCGACATTAACCTTTCTGCCACCTCTTTTCTCCAGCCTCCCTCTATACCACATTTCCCTCACCATTCAGCTCCTCGGGGCATCATATGGTTTCTTTTATTCTTACTGATTTTCTCTGTAGAATCTTCCAGCATAACTTCTACCTGTCCTTTTCTCAGAACACTAGGGAATGGAGATCAGGTAAACAGGCAAGCCCCAAAACCTCTGAGTCAGGCAGAAGGTGAACAAGTTATAACCTTCTCACATCTTTGCTTCTCCTGTCTGCCCTCCTCTTTTCCCCTCACTAGAAAGGTAGAGGAAGGATTTATGAAAGGGCTGCCTACTCATCTGAATTCTTTTGCCAGATTTTCCCCGTGGTGTATACAGCACTTTGGAATCCCCCAGAGGGAAGCACACTCACAGGGAAGCTGCTGTTACTATTATGTGTGCATGGTAGAGCTTGGCATCCCTGGAGAAAAAGCCTGCAAGGGTGTGTGAGTGCCTCCCCACGGAAGATTTTTTTGAGTCTAATTATTCCTTTTGAGTGAGGTATGTACCTCTGGAAATTTTCTTTTTCAGGGAAAGGAGCAGCCAGTGTGAGGGGCCATGGTCTTGACTGTGAGTGAGTAGGTAGTTGCACCTGCCGCTCATGATGCCTGGTGAGCACCCCAAGAGCCCCGTCTTGGCCTGCTCCCATGTGGTACTGTGAGGACTCTGAGTGTGCTACTTCCTGTGGTTTTTCAAGGAATATGTGTAGCTGCAGCATTATGTCTGTTCTGGCCTGCCAACCTGATTTCACGGAGTTTTGGAAAAACAGTCCCCTCAGGGAAGTCCATGGTTGTTTTGACATTTGGGATAGAAAATATTTGCCATGTAACCTTTACATTAAAGGACCCATAGCTAGGGACAAACAAAGAGCATATTGACTTGTCTCCATGTGAGCATTTGGGTGTTGCTCGAAGACTTTAATCTGCTGATATATATTTCCTGCTTTGAATTTGGGCCTAGGCAATGCTTATTCAGTAAGAAAATATGCATAAGCATCGGACAAGAGCTTTCTTTCTTGATGATCTCTGCTGAGGCCAGGGAGTTGAGGAGGGGAGTTGGAGTCGGAACAGTTTAGATTGTAGCGGCAGTCCTCACCTGTTCACCATTTAGTTTTGTCCTCGTTGAGCACTCATAAGCAGAACTTCCGTCATGAAACCAATGTTTTTTGATACTGAGTAGATGAGGTTGGGCAACGGTGGGAGGGCTACTCACTTCTAGAAGACTTGTAATGTGAGGCAGAGCACCTTTGAATCGGCATGTGGCGTGACAATTTCTACCCTACCAGCTTCCCCACTAGCTTCTAAATTTCTTGAGCTACACTATTTTGTTGATCTTTGTACCCCCATACAATATTAAGCATCTTTAGGAAGAATGCCCATAAGGAGCCTATGCTGAGTGACAGAATCTCTAAAAGAAACATGTCATCCAAGGAGGAAACAAGATAACTTCTTCATGGCTCCTTGGTCACTCTACGTTTTGGCAGAAAGATCTAGAAAGGCAGAAATTGGAGACTGCAATTAGAGATAACTGCTGCTTTCTTATATCTGTGTTCTCAGAATTGGTCTGGGTTTAGAGGAAGAAGAGAAAGCTGAGGAGGAGCTGTCTGACTCCTGCACTCCTTGTGACTCCACTTTTATCTGTTTATTTTTCAGATAAAATAAAGTATTTTGTTTTATAATATTTATAAAGACATAATATTTATAAATACTACATTCTGCATAATATTTATAAAGACAACAACAATCACCCCTGACCCCAAACCTTTGGGACTTCTGTTTAAACATGGCAGATTGACCACATGCATTTCTCTTCTCTTCCACTAGAATTTCTCTAGTAATATAATATGCAAAGAAAAATAAAATTTCAAAAACCCACAGAGACAAAGAAGCAGGAAGGGAGGCACAAGCAAACAAGAGGAGGCTAAGACACTTTTGGAAGATAGGAAGTAGGTGGAGAGTGGTGAGTGAGTCAGCAGGGCAGAGGAAGTTAAAGCACAAGTGCTAACAGAGGACAATATTAGCAACAAGTGAGTGAATTTATCTGACAAAACCCTAGAAAAAATCAGAACTGGACACCAGCTGTCACACAATGGGGTGAAAAAGTCAGGAGATGAAGCAGAAATCAGGAGAACTCGTGGGAGCTTAGCACATGGAGCATTTGGACTCCCAGGCCCCCTGCCCAGTCAAGAACAGCCCATGTCTACACCTTTTCTTTTTCCTTCCTCCACTCCCTCTATTCACTGCAGAAGGGAGAGACTTAATCTCTGGAAAAATGTAACAGGGGAGACTCTGGCGTGGGGAATATGGCCACATGGGAGGGCAAAGGATGAGGTGCAGAGTCAGAGGACAGGGGCATTAAGTTATAGTTGGTAAATTGACTGGTAGGGATCTTGGCATCCTTTCCCTGCCCTGCTCACAGACTAAATGTATCCAGTCCAAGGAGGAGTTTGGAGGCCTCTTTTGAGAATCCAAAGAATCCCCGAGAAAAGACCTATGAATATTGACATTGGTGAATCTTTCAACAAAAAAGCCAGCTTACCACTTACACACTGACAGTAAAGCCCAAAAATTGGGGAAAAAATTTCAAATTCATACAGAATTCATGTAAAGGAATTTTCTATAATCTTTTTAGTACCTTGCTCTTGAACGAACGTGAGGATTCACATGCAGAATCTCACACATCTGAGGAAAGATTCCAAAATAAAAGGGAGAAACAAATAA